CACTTAGTCCAAGTGAACGATAATTGCATTAAGAATGAATCATATGAACATAAACACTTTTTGGAAATTCTCATAGAAATTCTTAAGTTCCTGATGCACCTTATGAAGATGTGCCCCATTCAGCTGAAGGAGAAAAAGCAACTGAGCTTCTGCAAGTATACAGGTACTTAAGCTGGAAGTGAACAGCATCAGCTGATATGCATTGTCAGAATGCCTGGATCACTTAAAAAGAAAAACAATTGGTTTTAAAGAGAACACAAATTTTGTATCTCTCACTACACAATGTGAGCACATTTAGACCACACTCTGCAACACAGTGAGATAATTAATTTATGCAACAAAAACTTAATTCATATTACAACTGTAAAAATCTGCTCACAGAATTCTGATAGCAGGCCAGGAATATTTCAGAGAAATATGGAGAAAAAAGTCAGTCAAAAAACTTACTAACAAGGCAAACACCTTCTAATTTCCACTGTTTGATGAAGAGTCTATTTTTTATTAGCCTTTGGGAACTATTTCAGTCTTCAGGGTGTACATACATGTTTGAGATTGTTCTGTAGTTGTAGGCACTCAGTCTCAGCATCCTCATATTGCTTCTTAGATTGAAGTAGTGCTATTAAATTACTATTGTTTTATGCTCTTTGTGTTCCTCAAAGACTGCAGTATTAATATCCTCATTTTAGGTTAATTTTAGATTTCCCACTAGAATAATTATATGAGGACAGATATTTCTGATGTAGAAGTAAAATAAGGAAAATAACTGTTACACTGACTTTCCTTGTACTTGGGTATTTGCGGGACAGGTGTGCACAAGTCATAGGCTATAAACCAAGCATCTTTCTGAAATTCAGTATAACGTGCAAGAAGTCCTGCAATGTGGATCCAGGCAGTGAGGATGTATTACTATTAGTAAGTCCTTTCTTGTGATATTTTGGGGTGCGTCTTAGTGCTTTCTTGACAAAGGAGACTCCCCTGAGCCAAAGAAATCACACGTTGAGAGCTGGAGCACCTCTCCTATGGAGAAAGGCTGAGACAGTTGGAGTTGTTCAGCCTGGAGAAGAGAAGGCTCCAGGGACACTTTATTGCAACCTTTCAGAACTTAAAAGGGGCCTGTAAGAAAAATGTAGACAGACTTTTTAGCAAGGCCTGTTGCAACAAGACAAGGGGTAACACTTTTAAACTAAAAGAGGGAAGATTTAAACTAGATATAAGGAAGAAATTTTTTACAATGAGGGTGGTGAAGCACTAGCACAAGTTGACCAGAGAGGTGGTGGGTGCCCTATCTCTGGAAACATCCAAGATGAGGTTGGATGGGGCTCTGAGCAACCTGCTCTAGTTGCAGATGTCCCTGCTCACTGCAGGGGGATTGGACTAGGTGACCTTTAAAGGCCCCTTCTAACGCAGATCATTCTGTGAGTCTATGATTCTCATTGCTATTTATTACCTATGTTGCAGTTGTGAAAAGAAACAGTGGAGCAGGGCTCCAGATGCTTCTAGAACAAGAGATAAGGACCAGTTCAACCACAGAAATAAAACTAAGGGGCTCAGGTCACACATTGTGTGTAAGAGCCCCAGACAATACCTACGTTCTAGTTTGAACTTAAGAGTTACAAGGTGATATTCACTTAGCTGATTTCAGTTATCCAAAACTTATGGTTCTAGCCTAAGGCAGTCACTGTATGGTCAGTCTCTTCCAGAGGCAGAGGACCTTCTTTGAAGGATGTATCACTCTATCTCACTCGTGATGTCCATGACAGAAGGAACGAATCTCCTGTTGGAAGTGCTAATCTTCCACTGCTGATGATAGGAGTGAGGTACATGACTGCCTGAGCACAGGTGCTTAGAAAACTAAGTCTAGATAAGAGACTCTGTCTATATTTTACACTGAAAAGTTGGTAATCAGAACCAAAAATAATCACTGGATAGGGTACACAGTAAAAAGGAGGCAATCCATTTTCTCTTTTCTCCAAGGAGTTAGGGGTAAACTAAAGATTAAGTGTCTTGTTTGTACATCCAGCTTCAAGAGCAGTAGGCAAATCTGCCCTCCAGTTTCTCTTAAACCAGTCTGCATCTTGGTAATTTGAGTACTTTTTGATGTGTGTGCAGTGTGGTTTTTGATTTCAACAGGCTGTGATAGAAACTGAAAGTGCCACAGAATCTCGGATGTGAACTCTGGTTGCCAATAGACTATTACATTAGGTAGAGGCATCAATCTCTCCCATTCTCCTGCAAATGCTTCTGGACAGAAAAAAAAAATGTGTCAGACTCCATTCCTTTAAGAAGTAGATGAGGGCTTCTTCTAGCAGCTATCCCTGCTTCCTGAGAGTTTTGTCCACATAGCTGAAAGCTGCAGGTAGCCAGCTACCTTCAAAGAATAGTTCTGAGACACTCCTTTTTTTTTTTTTTTTTTTTTTTTTTTTTCCCCCCACTGGGTAGCAGTAGAAGGTTCCCTGCTGTGCCCATGCAGGTTTGGGATCATTATTTTGGGGTGACTGACTCAGCTCATGTGTTATACATATCTTGGCTCCTAATCCAGGGCTTTTGTAGACACCCTATTAGCACCTAAATGCTTTAGTGCATCTGTCTTGTGGTTAAGCCTCAACCTACAAAGTGTCCAGGTTTATGGATGCAGGCCGATGAAAAAGATGTAAAAGGGCAGAAGAAAACAGGGAACAAGATGTAACACTAAGAAAAGCATCTGGACAGTTAAAAAAAAAAAGAAAAAAGAAGAATGATGTATAAATAATAAGCAATAATGATTTACCTTAAAAACCTCACACAACTACTGAAAATGAGGGCTTGGCTCTATCAGCCTTTTCAGGATGAAATGCAGATTGCAGCAACTGCTGGCAGGGAAGGACAACTTGATGTGAGTAGGAGAGTCGGAGGCGTGCAGAGGGTATGCAAGTGCCAGAATTCAAGAGTCATGTGACATTCAAACAAATGGTGAGAACATTCAGCATTATTGCAGTTAATGATGAGAAACTGTTGAGAAAGCATTAAATCTTGTGCTTCAAGGACCACTTCTAACAACAAAAGGCCAAGGGGAAACTTAATAGGGCAGTGCAAATGTCTCTAAGTATTTTCCTACAAGAACTTTAGATTTTTCCCTGAAGTATATCCCTTGATGGTGGCCAGTGTCAGAGATCAGGTGCTAGACTGGCAGGATCTTCTGTCTGCTTTACTCTGGCAATCCCAATAAAGGTTGGATTTTTAAAAGTTGGTGACAGTTGATGTCTAGGTTCTTTTATCAGAGTATAAATTTAGCATCCTCCTTCTGAATTAAGCATTTAGGTGGCAGAATTAATGTTCTATAAATTCAAATGAAAGATGTTTGAAGAAAATAGAAGTGGAAAAGATTAATATTTGAAAATTAGAAAGTAATTTTCAGTAGCAGAGGTGGACGACTGGTTGAAAAATGCATAAATTAAGACCTACAGGAAAAAAATTGCTCTTCATAGAGAAGTCATTAGGAGTGATATAACAATTTACATTTCACATAAGTGACATTCTTTTTATATTTTTATTTTCCCTTTTGCACTAAGGGTTACATCCCTATAAGCACGCAATTCTAACTGCTATCAAGTTTGCATTGATAATGATGAGAACTGCAGGCACTCAGCATCTCCCTGTAGGTGTTTGTCGTGTTGGACCTGACCTTTGTTTTCACAGCCAGCAAAGCAACAGCAAAAATTGCACTGGCTTCAGGGAGGCAGAATTCATGCCTGCTGGCCAGTCATAGCTTAGCAACAGGATTTATACTGTATACACTCAGGGAGAATCTTTTGATTTATTTCAGGTAACAAAGATGTCTTTTTCCAGCAATGTCTGTAGATATACAAATATTTGAAAAATACAAGCAGGAGAGAGGCTCAGTCTCCTGAACGCATATATCCTTCCAGACCCTTGCCTGACCCCAAAGTTACACTCTCCTGTCACTGACCCATCTAATCACCTTTGTGCTGCGTTCTCAGAAAAGGCCTGGGAAAACCCATCAGCTTTGCAATGCAATCTGAAGGTCAACACATTTTAATTTTCTTGGCCAATTCTTTCTTTGACCAAGACTTAATTGTTTAATATCAGGTCACTCAAAAAAAGGTACATTTTATAAAGCTGTTATTTTCAGAATTTCAAACAGCATTCAAAATTCTGTGCAGTTAAGTGGCAGTTTTTATAGCTGAGTCTAAAAAGAATTAGAACAATAATTTTTGCAGAATAACACAGGAAGTTTCTTTTTGTTTAACAGCAAAGAAGAATTATTGGCGACGTCTGACGACGACACAAGGAATAATTCAAGTACTTCAGGTATAACACCCGGTTTAATTAGTTCTTCCTTACTGCACACGTTAATTAAAAAATAGTGTAACAAAAAACCTCATGGAGATTATTCAATGTTTTTGTTAACTCTTCAGACACAAACATCCCAGAGATTGTTTATTCACAAGCAGAAGACAAAGACACCAAACCAGCTAATGAAAATATAAAAGATAAAAATGCAGAATACAACCAGGGTGATCACGAAGAAGATGAAATAGAATTAGAGTTGCTGGTAAGTGTTATGCAATTATATCTACAGTATTAAATGATTTGAATCCATTTATGCTTCAAAGCTGGTGAAATGCCCCTTTTTAACAGAGCTGACTGATGTACTAATTTACAAATGTAAAGCCCTGGTCTGTACTTCTATTGAATCGCTAACTGATTCGACAATAGAAGGTGCTTTGATTTCAGTACAGTGCATCAACTTTTTCTGGTCTTAAATTAATGACTTCTCCCATTTACTTCTTTACCAGAGGCTCTAAATGACAGTTTGAAGGAATTAGAAGAGCAGCATTTCAAAAAACTCCCCTCCTAGTCTCTGGGATGGGAATATTTTTAAATAAATGCTTTATATTTCATAAAATTTTTATATTTATGATGCTGTTTGCTTTTGGGGCTTTTCAAAGGATTACTGTGTAACATGCTATATGAGCAAAATAAGTATATATATATTTATATTAGCTGATTTTTCTATATCAGTATTTGACATTAATTTTTTTATAATAAATTTCACACTCAGTGAACATTCAATCTATTTGGATTTGCGTGCGTGCGTGTGTGTGTGTGTGGTTTGGCTTGCGTTTTTCAGTATGAAAGAAAAAATGGCAATAAATGAGACACGTACAGCAATCTATTATTCTCAGTGTCTGTTCTCAGCTCATATCATTTGGGTGCATAGATTCATAATCATAGATTATAATAGCTATCACCTGTGAAAATGTGAATGATGAATCAGACAGGAGAGCAAGATGAGAACCATTCTTTTTTTTCTTATTGATAGAGAATAACTTCGTCTTATTTAGAGAGAAACTTTTTTTTTTTTGCTAAAAAAAAGTTGAAAATTGTTGCCTATTGTGGGACCTTTCACTACTTGAAAGTCAAAGTTCCCCCTCCCCCCTTTTTTTTTTATGGTGAAACATAAAAAGGAGGACCTCAAAAATCCCTTGTTATTCTGTCCACCCTGTTACAGAAATCAAGATCAAATACGAACGTTTGTTTATCAATTGCCAGGATTGTCCATACAATAAATGAAAGGGGAGCTATAATTTAGATGTTAATTTGCAGTATGCACTCTTTAATGAATTAAACAATGAAGGCTTATAATAGATGGAAATACAACCAAATCTTTGAAAAGCAGAGGCATTGGCTCACAAGACAGCTGTGCAGTTGACAAGTAACATGAGCCTTATGTGAGAAGAAGGGGAAATCGTAAGATTTGCATATAATTATTGAGATCATGCAAATGTCAGTTATGAGGAGGGGAAAAAACCACAGGCATCTCACTGTTAAATCCTGACAGTTGGCATCACCGAAGAACTCAAATACACTTGAGCACTGGTTGGCAGAGGGTCATTAAAACAGAATTTGCAGAGACATTAGCTCCCTCACTTTTCTTTGAGTGACGTTTTACTATTAATAGTTTGCAGAGGTTTTGCAGAAAACATATTAATAAGAGAAACTGTAATGGGGGTATCTACAGCAAGTGCAAATGCATAAAGGGGTACCCAAGAAGCTAGCCTCTAATTGATCAGGTGGTGCTATTGGTGTGACTATGCTAAAGTGAGAAGAGAGTGCAATGACAAGCAGGCAGAGCTGAATAATACAATATGATATTTGGGAGCCAGGATGGAGAGTGATTAGTTTCTGGCCTTTTACTTCGCTAATCTCATTTCCAACTCATGTCTTACCAGATTGTCTAAAAACAGTCTGGTTTGAAGCCTGTAAAATGGTCCCTGAGAGAAATGAAGCACAGATAATCCTTACAGTATTTGTCAGTGTGAAATGTGTCTTTGTTTTACTGGACAATACTGTACATTACCAGGCTTTGATGTACTGTATCAGTGCCCTCATTTAAGCACCAATCCTCCCCCCTCGCCCCACATCTCCCTCCCTCCAAGCCTAGAACTGAATGTATAGAGAATGAATTAGCCTCCCTTTAAGGGAATATTCTCTTCAGATTTAATTTGTATAAAGTGCACTAGCAGCTTACTGAACTCATGAATAAAGAGAGAGGGTTCTGAATACTGTTTTACTTCCTGCTCCTTTCAGCACCCCATAAAGCTCATTGCCTATGTTAAAAAATCCATACAATGCAAATTTTGCAAATGGTTTGGAACATGTTTCCATAAGAGCTCTGTTGCTGAAAACAAAACTTCCCACAATAAAATCCTGCCTCCTTCATTTGGCATATTTTTGCAAAGCACTTTTTGATCATTCTTTTCTATTCTATTGTTTCAGCTAAATCAGCACTTCACAGGAGCTAGAGGTACTTCTTCCAGAGATGAAAGGAATTCATACACCACAGAACCAGTTAATTTTCCAAGTGAAACTGAAAGATTGGAGAAAAATCTAACCTGCATAGAAAAAAGCAGTGGCTTCCGCCCTATGCCTATCAGTCCCTCATCTGAAAACACTTCACAAGAGATAGGGGGAGAATTAGAACATACAGTTAAGTATTCCCTAAGAGATTATAGTAGTCAGCTGTCAGGGCAAGAAGCCGCTGCTGGCTTGGAGAAGAGCGGCGAGCAATCTTTGGAAGATACTGGTACCAGTGAAAGCCTCTTATCGGCAAAATATTTTCCTGGGACAAAGCAGAATGAGGCAGTTGATACTATGGCTACTGTCTCAAGCCAACAAGGTGAAAGCCACAAAGATATTTCAAAAGGTGAAACAGATAGCACCTCGGGAAGTAAGATGATGGAGAGGTTATTCATCAGTGAGGATGATGCTGTTACCTCGAAAGGGGCCTGTGAAATGAGACCAGAAACCATTTCTCCAGAGCATGATGAATCCATGCAATTAAATGCATGCGTAGCAGGGGCACTGGATGGCAATGCTAATCCAGCTCCACAGCACCAGGCACCGCAGATGTCTCACCAAACTCGGGATTCATTGTTGTCAGACGCTGACAAAAATGAAGGAAAAATCAAGATGATTGAAAGCAAAGTTCAGGTACATTTAAGAGGAGATTTATATGCCAGCACTTTTGCACATGCTGATGTCTCAATAGATTCCACAAAAAGCCAATATATGCAAAAAAAAGGAGCTGGTGAAATGTCAGGGAAGAGCTATAACAACGATGCAGGGAAGGAGAAGAAAGTCATCGAAGTAGCAGACTTGGCACTGATCGGTGAGGAGGAAGCACCCAAGCCTTTCAAGTCGTGTAGAAAACATGCTGCCAAAGCGTCGAACACAATGCCTCTGTCAGGCAGAGACAACAAACAGGCACCCAGGCCTGCAGAGGCAGATCCCCCGGCATCCTCTCCGTGGGATGAAAGGAGGGCTGGAGACACTCGGGAACACAGAGGATTCACAAGGTTAAAAGACAGAGGAGAGTCAGACAACACAAACCGAGGAAGACTGATGGGAGAGGAAAGCGAAGCAAGCCCCCTGCAGCAGAGATGGCGAGAAACGGGTAGCGAGGCTTGGTGGGGAGTGAGAGGGGACACAGGGCATTGGGGTACAGCTTCCACAAAGGAGCTGTTTACCTGCCAGAAGGCAGAGAGTTGTGAAAAGTCTTCTGTCTCTGAGCAGGGTATCACAGAGGAAGCAGAGGCAGGTACAGCTTATATAATTAAAACAACATCAGAAAGTGCTCCAGAAAAAATGTCTACCAGTGAAAAAGCAGTAATTGCTAAGCTACCTCAAGAGACTGTGCTAAGTGACAGGCCCACAGAGGAAAAGGAAGCTGCGTTTGATACACATGAAGGGAGAAATGATGGTTCACATTATGCTCTTTGTCAACTCAACACAGTGGGTGTATTATATGACACTGAATTTGAAAAGGAATCAGTTTTAGATATTTATAATGCAAGCGTACGTGAAACACTGCAAGGAGAAGCGACATCTATATGCAATAGCAGGGAAAAACGTGCCAGAGCACAACCAGACGCTGGCAATATTTCACCTGTAGGAGAAGCAGTAAGGGCTTCTGCTACTGGAAAGAAAGAAAGTTTGGATCAGGGATTCTACTCTGAAGTGGCTAAACATCCCCCGAGCACCCAGAAGCATCTATACGGTGAGGAGGCAGAATTGCTCTGTAGGGAAGGAAGCCATGCTGGTACACTTTCCTATTTACATGCTAAAGCTGAAACGAAAATGTCGTCTTCTGAAGGGTCCACTGTGGTAGGAGGTATGGAGAATCTGTGTAGACACTTTGAATTCAAAGTCATTGACAAAGTTGCTGCTGAGTCAGGGTACGATTTAAGCCTACCAAAGGAAATCACATGTATTAATAAAAATCTCTCTCCTGAAAAAAAAGAAGTACTTTCCACTTCAGACACAGCAATTGCTGGAGAAGGAAGAGGAAGGAATATAGGTCAATGTTTTCATCAAGCAGAGTTCAAACAAGAGAAGTCACGAAGGCCAGAGGTTTTGATTAGTAAGCCCACCAAAGAAGCTGGAGGGTCAGGCTCTCCCTCTGACCATTTAATAACTGAGGGGAAACAGCTAAACTGGCTTGATGACTCACAGAAGGAAAGCCAGCACATCTTTGATTCTGCAGATATACCTAACCAGGAGAGTGAAGCACTTAAGCTACCTAGTGAGTCTCCAGGTTTAAAATATATTGCTTGCAAAATGTGTTATTGCTTCTTCTTTCTTCTATTTGCTGCAACACTCTACCACTATGATTTGATGGTTTGTCTTGCACTCTACCTCTTCTCCTTGTATTGGCTATACTGCGCAGGAAGAAGAAACAAGGAATCTGTCAAAAAGGAATAACATTTTTTGATTGTCAACTGTGCTCAAGATCCATGGTCAATAGTCTTCAATCCCTCCAACGAATTTTCACTGTTAAAGAGCTATTCATTGTTAGAACCAAAGTAAGTTTTCCACTGAAGCATCTTTTCTAAAAGATTACATATGAAGTTGAGCCTTCATATAAGTAATTATACTATATAGGACCATTATGTTTGGATCATTAAATACCTATAGGAATATGAATTCTGAAGCACATCAAGTTAAAATCAAATACAGCTGTTGCTATTTAGGAGGATATGAAGAAGCAAAGCTTCATATCTCTTAAGTATGTAAAAGCACAGTTTTCTTGCATTAATTTCTTTTGCAGTAAAGCATCATATTTTTTTCTGGGAGTTTTTTCAAAGATTTTGTGTAATACATAACAACACAAAGAATGATATAAAAACTAACTCAGTATTTTGTTACTGACATTGCAGTTGATAATCTGCTAGTGTAATTAGCCAGTGCTCTAAGAAATATGACATCCATTGATAGATTAATGTTTTTGTCCAAATTTTTACTTCATTGTTTTAACTTAGAGCTCCAGTGGTACCCTTGTTTGAAAAATGTAAGGCTTTGGCTTCAGTAATATCACGTAACTTTTGGGATGTAACTGCATAGCGGAATAGATGTGCTGTTTCCACTCTGCAGAAATTGAAGGCCACAGCCACAGGCCTCTTGCCATTCACTCATGTGCACAAATGTTTTTGATTTTTTGCAAATGAGAACTGTGTAGCATGGCTGAGAATTTCACTGTTCCAGTGTTGTTCCACACAAAGCCTTCAAATGACATTTTTTCATCAGTGTTGCTTCAGCATATCTACAAACCATTAAATAAATTTTACAGAGGAGTGCTATGACTGTGTTGAGCATGTCTGAATTAGGTTTACTGCTTTTTTCTACAGCTTGTTACCTACAGCTAATCAAATATCAAGAGAAAACACAGGGTACTGTGTAGTGCTGTTGTTCAGTCAGGCTGCTTTGTGTAGTTTGGATGAGGTAGAAGAGCCCAGAGTCTGCTCTGAGGAGAGCCCAGACTGATCCCGCACAGCAGGAGTCCCATGGGGCAGGCACGCTGGTGGCTCTGATACTCCAACGTTGAGGGTCTCCCACAGAGGGTCATGCCCAAGGTTTGTCTGGAAAGAAAAGGATGGACAGAGTCTCTTGCACTTCTCTTGTTTTCTGGTTGATGGCCACAAATACTGTCGTCTGTAATATGTTAAAAGAAGCACCAAGGCTACATAATGTTACAGGAGCCCTAGAATTTAAGACAGAAAAAGAGTTTGGTTTAACCTGTGTTTATTTCTCTCTCCTTACTGTCACTGTGAAATACCACATCAATTGTGAAAGGCTTTGTTGCAACATATGGCCAAAGCTACATAACGGTGAAGCCATTTAGTTGTTAGCTCTGTAATAAATCTTTTGAAGCCCATTTAAAACTTGTTCACGCATTTCAGGATGTGAGGAGACTCTGCTACAGGATGCACTTTGGCATTCCTGTTCTCCAGGGGGGCAAAAATTTGGAGCATTGTTGGAGTGGTGCATTTGGTGGGGTGAGCAAGTGTGTGGGTGATCTTCGTGAGCTGATGAGTGTGCTGACAGTTGGATACTTTCACAATTTTGATGGCAACAAGGAAGACTGTGTCCAGATGTTCAAAGATATATAGAAGCAAAATGTTCATTGAGATAAGAAAAAAACCTAATTCAATAGGCATTAGGAGCTAGATCCAATAAAAAGCTTAGGCTTAGACTTAAAGCAGGATTGAATCTGTTTAAGTCCAAAATAATGACCACAAACTTTTCTTTACTTGGAGACCACAAATGCAGAAAGGAACTGGCCTTTTCATGATGTTTTTAGACACTTCTTAAAAACCCATGACATTCCTTTTCTTTTGGTGGTTTGCTCTCTGCAGTGTGCCAAGTCCCTGGTCTAAGTGGTTCAGACTTTCAGACTCACTGGGATAAAGATGTCAGGTATTGCTTTGCTTCCTAGTACAGTGGAAGTTCTCAAGTTGTGTCTAATATATTCTGATGGGATAAAGGTCCTCAGTTAGAGGGCTAAAAAGATGAAGAAAGCACCCTGTGTCTGTCTTGCTGAAACTGTCACTGTGCAGTCAAGTATCACACTCCTGGGGTGGAAGAGGATGAGCACGTAAGACTTGTTTTAGCCTAGTAGTTGAAACCACCGCACCAGAAAGAATCACAGAATCACAGAATGGTAAGTGGTTGGAAGGGATATCTGGAGATCATCTAGTTATCTAAGGAAGTTCCCAGTTCAAAACTTTTTTCAGTCTTGTTTACCCTATAAATATTTAAAGCAAAATTCATAAAGTTCAGAGCAAGGTCCAAACCCCAGGTTCCTGCCCTGTTGGGTAAATGCTTTATTCACTTAATCACAGGATTTGAACTTACGTTTGATTATCTTCAGCTTTGCCAAACCTGGACCTTCCATCCAGCAGGATGTACTTTAACCATTGGACTATTATAGTTACCAGGAGGATTCTGGTTCCCAGAGTTTGGAATTACCTCTGTGCATAGGTGAGTTCCTACTTTCTCAACCGAGTTAAGCTGAAAGTGATTTGTCTTAAAAGAGACATCTAATGTATATTTCTTGCAGAAATATAAATCAGTCATAGTCCAAATGCTTAAGCATCTGAGATAGCCTAATAACTCTAAATATCTTGGACAAGGCTTTATTGCAAGGAGATTCGAGGAGTTCAGCCAACATGGAAGTGGGAAAGTCTGGTTGTGTTTTTTACTGAATCTTGAGGACTTCAAGGAGGCATCCACCTTGAGGAATCTTTTCTCTTTTAACTGGGAGCCATGACATCCTGGAGCCATAGGAACCTTTGTGTGGTGGTCCTCTGTATGCAATGTGCATGTTTTCTCTCATTTATTTCAGCCCAAAATATTGGACCGCTTGTCAAAGATTCAGCTCAGTGGATTGGATAGCAAAGAAAAGGGGCCAGGGATAATTAAAGGGTCCAGGACTATGGGTGGAAGAAAGTTGTTGGATTGAATCAGTCTCTGGAGAACAGTAGAAAAATGTTACAGAGAACCCGGGAGAGTCAACATGAACTGCAAAAAGAATGCAGGGGATAAATAGAGAGCATCTATTAATACAGACATTCATTAAAAATTAGTAGGCTTGTACTGTGTGTCATAATATATTTAAACCAGTTGCTAAATCTCAACTAAAACTTCCATCTCTACAGAAAGCTGGCTTCTAACAGCTCTTCTAACAGCTGTTCCTTTGTCTGACGGGTTAAACCTCTGGGTCTGCCATTTTAACACACATTCAGGGTTGGAATTTAGGGTAAATATTTGAATGTTAGAATAAGCATATTTCGTCTACATAGAAGTGGAATACTGTTAGCATTTCTCAGATTTGGAATGGGATTTTCTGTTCTATATTTAAGATATTTAGTCAGCATATCATACCTTATGATTGCAAAACAGGACTCTAAACTGATCTGTGAACACAGGTGCCCTAACTTTTAAGTACTTATGTACTTAAAACAACAAAGCAAGTAATTTTATCTTTTTTATTTATCATTTGATAAGCTATCTTTTAAAAATCCTCTTACTTTTGTTTGCAGTATGGAAGCAACACTCTTGTAACATTAGCAAAATATTTGGCTTTTATTTATTTCGGGGAATAAGTGACGTGTTGCATTTTTGCCATGATTCATGTTTAGCTTGCCTACTAGGTGTCAGTAACATATTTCTAGTTAATAATTTAATTTCTAGTAGTTTCTAGTTATTTCTTCAGGCTGCGCAACAGAAAGAAGGTATGATCCTATTTGGTAGGCCTGTGGTCATGAAAGGTTCCACTCTTAATATAATACAGAGATTAAAAATAATATAATAGAGGAAGGCTTGCTTGCAAGGTGTATGAGGTATACAGGCGTATGAGGTATATACATCCCATACCATAGGAGATATGTCCCGTGGCTGTTATCTAAACTGTCCTGTAATAAATAAATAAATTTATTTGCATATTGTGGCATCTATAATCTGTTGAATTTACTTAAATCTATAGGGCAGCAGGGAGAGGAGTGGGAGGAGGTTCTGTATCCAGATACCTTGCTAGGAGATATTGAGAACAAGCAACATCTTTAATGCCCCAATTATTTGTTTTTGATAATAGTTTGCTACTTCTTATTCATCAGTGACTTTTGGCTCAACAGTAGAGAAGCTACAGCAGAAACAAGCTACAGCCTTTAGAGACCCATTTAATATTGGAAATTAAAAATAAGAAAGATGGAGTATGAACTAAGTCCCTAAAGGAAGGTTAATATGGTAATGTTCAGAGTCACTATACTGAATTTTAGGTGTCTAGTGGTATCAACACCCCTTAATGAAACACCTTAGCTCTCTAGTCATTGAACCTATAAGTGAGAATCAAAATAGACAATGTGCTAAATAGAGAGCTGCCAAAGTTATCTAATAGGAAACCCTAATGGCAGAGTTGGGTCTTATACTCTTGCCCTGTCAGAGGGATTAAGTACTTAATACCGGGCTGCAGTGACATGTTTTTATCAGATCAGGTTTCAAATCCTGCAGCCTTCTTGTGCCCTGAGGTGCCTGAGTGGCTGCTTTCAGAGACAACAATTTGCAGAACAAAATCCCAGTTTTGGGACTGGAGAGAGGAAAAATTGAACCCCTTAAAGAATATCTTGAGATATTCACTTAAGAGGGAATATTTGAATATAAACCCTGTGCCAAGAACAGCTTTTTATGTGAACAGTGCATTTTGTGTGAAATTCTAGTTAGATAAAATACAAAACTGACACAAAGACCTTCATGTCTCCTCAGTGAGATGAACTTCTTCTGTGTTCTATAAAGTCACTTTTCCAGGCCTACACCAATGCCTTATTAATTGAAACTGAAGAATGGTTCTAGCTGTGAAGGTATCAGAGGAAAAAGGGTAACATCTCCAGTGGCTGTGCCCATGGTGCTTTTTGAAGAACTTAATCATG